CTACGGGATGGCTTTTGCATGTTGTGCTATAGTTCCGAAAAATAAGCCAATATACACCGTATCCGAGAAAGAACTGTAAGTATATCTTCCATTAGACTTCGCGGTTACGAAAATTATCAAACAACAACTATAAATTTGCAGTTTTTGAAAATTGAAACACAAAATTAGACTGACAGAATGATAAAGATGGCTACAAGAAGTTGCCTGCAATGCAATTGGCACTGCTGTTGGAAACTTCAAATTTCACATCGATAATTTTCTGTTTTCAATACATAATGTAATTCCTCCTTGATATTATTATCTCCAGGGTTATGGGTATGAGATGCCAAATCTGCCGAAATCAGAAACAAATCCGGTATGGGTCCCAACCCAGATAACCAACCATAAACAATGTTGTTTATTCTTGATGACCTAGTATACATACTTTTCAGTTCCTAAGAGCTATAGTTCAACTTCAGCTCCTAGGAATTGGAAGTGTTGCCTAGCAACATACTTATGTTTGTGTAAAAGAAACGTCAATTCAATTCAAGAGCTAATTTTGGAATCAAAAGGAAGACTTTTGTGTCGGTTGCAGAAAAAAATATTCGACCATTTCGTTGTATTATGTCGTAATCACGTTGATCAAGCATATTAAGATGATACTAGATCATATAGACATAATAAAAGCAAAAAGAATCATGGAAAGCAAGTAGGAAGGTACTTTCTGTCAGAACTTGATTTCTCACTAGACGCCATCATTTGCATTGTGTTAAATAAATTAGGAACGTCTGGTCTTATATGGACACAGCAGGGTCCAGGAGAATGATTCTGTATATTTATACATTGAAGTTTTCAGTTTTCCAGTTGAAGTTCTCAACTCTACTTTCACAGAGCTATATACTATAGTTCAATTTCGATATCAAAAGTTTAATGTTTCCAGATGAGATTACGTCGATACAGAATATTCCAATTTAAGTTCAATTTCCGACGTTCTGAACGAACAAACTTAGTGAATATTTCACAAAGTGAAACTCGTTTGGAGTAGGAAATTAATGTTATATCAAGACAAATGTTCAAACTTCAGCATACATACTGCTCAGAATTGGAAGCGGGACCCCGAAAATCACACCCGATATATCAGTTCTTGTTTCTTTTCACATAATCATCCCCTTTAGTACAAACAACGATAAGGATAATAATATCACCAGAATGACATGAAATTTGGCTTGGGTAAACAGGAAGAACTTCCCTAATTGGTGTGTACTAGAAACTTTTTTATAGCCACTCCCGAATACAAACATGGAGGCATTTTATCAAGGAGGACAGTAAAGGCCTTTACAAGCACTCATTCGAAGAGAATCCAGTATCTTTTATATTTTCGATCATATTGACTATCGAATTTTGCTGCGGTTTTGTTTCAGGTCGATGTTAGGTAAGGTTGATGGCTCCACCCAGTTTTACGAGAGATAATAGGACGTGATCTAATTTTCTTTATTGCCCAATAAAGACGCAGTATTCCTAGATGATCGAGTTTGAATTCCTTCTCCCATTTTCTCAAGAACAATGGAAGATAAATAATATCAAGAACTTTTCACCTAAGAGAGAAATTCGAATGATAGTCAGTGACACCCTCCTTTACTCATTTTTGAAACTTTCAAGAACGACTAATATATGCTCCGCTCCTCCCATTTTGAACATCAGCAGGGAAAATATATTTTGATGATTAAGTCTTCGTTTTTCTGTTTAAATCCCAGTGAGAGTAGAAGAAGGTGTTTTTTTCATTCTCCTTTAATTGACTATATTCATGTTCAAATCCCAGCAAACATGATTTTTCGGCCCTTTAAAGGTACAATGAAACTTGCCAGATAGCTGTATCAGCAGTCCTCTAATGTACAGTGTCTCCCGTTTTCGATGCTCTTGAGTGATATCTCAGTTATCTTTCGAGATAGAATTTTGCGGTTTCTGCGGTCCACACCACTTTTTGAAGTACATAGGTCATACTTACTTTTTGGATCCCCTCTATATCCTTCAAGTTTCTAAGCGGAATTGTCAAATAATAATCTCATTTCATAGAGAATTTCACGCAGGATCCACTGGCGTAGTCATTTTCTTTTTCGGGGAATGGTTTTGAAGGAACGACTCAAACTAATGATTTTTCAAATATTACACCCTGTTTTTTATAAACTCATTGATTCCCTATTACTTTTCCTTCAAAATTATATAGAATGTATAGATATAAAATTTTCAAAAATGCACCAAAATCACTAAAACATAAAATTTTGATAGTGGTCTTCGGATGTTTCATATGGAAAACGTTCAATTGAAGGAATATCCTTTTTGATTTTTCCATGAAGTAGATTCAAACAATAACAAAACTTATTAATTGACATGACACAAAACTGAGTTACCTGATAGCAACAAAGAAATGGTTATAAAAAGTTCATAAGCACCTGATCATGTATTTTCTCAAACAATTGCATTTCGAAAATATTCAGTAACTTATTCATTGTATTGTTCAAATTGATGTGTATTTTTCCTTCTGAAAAAATATGGTATTTCGATGGAAAACCCAGTCCATTTGGAGAACCACCTTAATCATATTTTAACTCAAATTTGCATCACTCTGTTTATTTCTATACCGGTTAAAAATAACGGTTCTTTTTGAAAAACAGATTTGAGATCTCCCAAGTTCATTTTGTGAAGCCTGATTATATCAGATATATCGAATTTATTCTGTACCTGGAGCATCCTGGAGTTGTTGGATGAGGGCATCTGAATCTCTGAGATGGCACTCCTGATATATCAGTTATGTCCAGGAAACTAGCTGTGCGAATACCTCATACGAAAACAAGAACTGAAAATACCCATGTGTGTATATTATTAGCAGGATTACAACCAATACAATATCATAACTATGGAAACATCATCCTAATTCTCTTCCTACCTATCATTGTATATTGATTATGAAAAGGTACCTACAATTTTCAATGATAGGTAATTATTTCATTGTGTCTCATCATGCAGGATAGTTGATCGTTTTTTTCACATGTTCAAAAAAGTTGCTAACTCTAGGTCGAAAATTACATCATACCGAATAACTTGAAGTTTATGTAATCAGTGCAGATTATATTAATCAAGTAATGACCAATAATTGAGTTCAATCTACAGGATAAGAATTCTCCGATATGGAGAAGTTTACTCTTCATCATATCGAGTGTGTCTGGAAGTGAGATATCATAATATACCAAGATGAAATCAATATCGTAGTCTGGATCAATGTGTGATTATTATCTGTGATGATTGGGCTGCTGGTTGTTCATTTCGTAGCTGAAAGCTGTGCTAAAGATTTCATTCTCTACCGATCCAGTATACATGCAACCTCATACATACCTATACATACAATACATACATATCTATTGTAGTAGTTTGTCAACATCCGATATAATTTTCGTTATTTTATTAATCATTCCAGAATTACGTCATTTGACAGGTTGCTGAGGGGCAAACGTTGTATATTGTCAAGATTTGTCATATGAAACCAGAATTAGTGGGATCATTTCCCTTGGAATCCGAGTTGGAACCCAAGAGAATTTCATGATTTTGTTTGGTGAAACTGTTATTATATTGTGGATGTGGCGGGAATGGCCAGGGCTATGCTCATCAAAGGTAACCTAACAGATAGTTTGTGTGCCCCTCAAGAAACCATGTCAAAATCACGTGTTCTAGAATGGTCAATAGTGGGTACCTCGGAAGAACCTGTTTCAAATCTTTTTTCTTCTGTTAATTCTGGTGAAGGGTATTTCACTCACCCATCCAAGAAATATTTTATGTTACCGAAACAATTAGCAATTGGCAACACCTGGATAGACAAAAATAATAGGAACTTACTTGTTACGTCTTGAAGGCCGTATAAAGCCGGAAACTGAGACCTATATGAAATTATCCCAAGAAGCTAATTGTTGACGTTAATATACATGTCCAGATGTGAACAAATCCGCACTGTCATATAGGGGATTGAACTAATATAACCATCACACTTCATAACTTTCGCGTTGGTCGAAATCACAAGGAAATCACGAACGATATCATAAAGATGCTCACGCTATAAAAGATGGAAGCCAAACTAAAATGATGGCCCATGCGCATGACAATTTTGAATTATTACTAAATGAATTATTATAATTACCAAACGAAGAATAAAATGAAATATCCATTATCCTTTATATTACGTATATTCATAATAAACAAATGTATCATGATAAATGAACACATAGATTTATTAACATCAACATTGTTAATTATCACCGAATCACATTATAATTATAGTTGTTTTTTCTTGTCGAACCGTGTTGAAGATTAGTTTCGAACCGTATTCATGCATGACGTAGTAATTTATCTCATTCAATTAAACATACTATTTTGAAATGGCAGCTGTTATAAGTCAGATACATAACACATAACCTGAAAATCGAAATCAATAAATAAATTTTGAAATTGATGATCACCTGTGAGAATTTGAAAAGTGTAAAATAATGGAATCACTGAAAGTGGCATTTTTAATTGATAATCAACAGATGAGGCAAGGTGTTTGTCTTTCACAAATGCTGAACCAGTCCAGAGAAATATTGATAATCGGGAAATGATCATTCTTCACGAAAATTTCCAGCATCCTGAAGTGGAAAATTATGTACCATACCCTCATCACACTCCATTTTTCGAACTATATATAGTCAATTTCTCAAAAATATTTATAACCTCAAACGCTCAAATCATCAAACTTCGACGTTTTCCCACTCCTCCACTGGTTTTCCTGGTTCGAACACGGTTCGAACCGTTCATTTAGAAGTTTTTGAACCGGTATGAATCGTATTACTTGGTGACGTTATAACTTGCGCAAGAAAATGCTTGATTTCTAATCGTTTCGAACACAGTTCAACAAGAGGAAACAATTCATTACTGAGATTTTTCTCTCAGTGTAGTCCTTGCCCTCGACCCGACAAATCTAACCTCATTTTTTCTAGGGCGTCCACGAGCTGTCTGGCGTCCGGCTGCCTCTGCAGCCCTACCAGGGCGGCCATGCCGTCTTCATGTACAGCACGGCCTCCGACGGCAACGTCACGCTGCAGCTCAAGGAGCCAGACGACCTCGACAGGAACAGCCTGGCCGCCATGTTGGCGCGGCTGCAGGACGATGCCACCTTTTCGATCAGTTATCAGGACACGGATATACTGGCCGAAGGGATAGACGTGCTGCTGGGCTCTGGAACGGCAAATTCCAGTGAGTATGACATTTGACATTTTCCGTACTCTGTCATAGAAACCATTTATTCCACCATTTCCACTACCCAGGTAGAAGTAGAGTTCCTAGATGTACTTGACACTGCTGTATTGACTATTTTTTATGGTAGAAGCAGTCTTTGGACGGATATCAGAGGGTAGTTGAGTGATTTCGAATCATGCAACCACCCTAATTGATTGGTCAGATACAATTTTGCGTGCTTCTGCTTCACCCATGTCACGTGATATACTCAATATATAAAAATATTATTTCAAACAATTTTGAGGAAGTTCGTTTTAGAGTTTTGTTCTGTTCTCGGTTGTCTCACGTGATGCGAAATACTGTAAATAGTCATAGTTAGTCTGAAACCTTCACTTTCATTGTGGGTTGAAGAGTTATCATGCAATTTTCATGATATTGAATATTCAATCACCTTGCATGGATATATTGCTATTACTCAACTATAGTTATCGATTGAATTAGAACCAGTTAATATCAAGTTAGAATTATCAATCAGTCAGGTCCTGTTTTCATTCTTTTTCATTCTTCAATTCTCCATCTGATAATGAACATAAATATGAAAGATGAAAAGTATGGACCTCTACATTTGATGTATGTACATAATAATTCAGTTAGGCAGCTGAATAGTTTGATTCATGGACCTCTTTCCTATCTCCTTCCTATACTTTTTCAAGTTAAATTGAAATAAAGAGACTCCATAAACTAGTATTCAGATTTCATGTGAATCTTTGGGCTCTTGATTTCTCCTTTCTCAAGTCCCAACGGGAAGAACCATAGTGCCATAACAAGCTCACAGTGGAAAAACTGCAAAACGAGCCTACCTGTAAGGAGTCCCACTAATGATTGCCGTCTGGCTTTCCGAGTAGATTGCAATAGTGACCACTTGCCTAGCAAAGTAGGAAAAGAAATAGGTCGAGTTCACTTGAATTTTGGAGGTCCACTCGGATTCTGCGGAGTGATTCTTTCAACGACATCATTGGAATAACATAATACTAACTGGTACTTAACCCTGAAAATATTCTATTGTAGAACTCCAACGGGAAGTTGAAACACTTTGATCATAATATAGGTAAAAATACTAAAAAAACGAGTGATTAGCTTGAGTATTCAAGAGCGGTTTGAACTTTATATTACAGTCTTGTCAAGCCGCCAGACTGAAAAAATGAACAAACTGACAAATGCTCAGCCAGTTTATTTTTTCTCGCTAGTGCATTCTGAGCGCCTGGAGCATGGAATATCCACCATGTGCATGGAGGTCAAACGAACTCCCAACAAGCCGACACCGCACGGTGTGAGTTTTCTGCGGGAGCTGCTCCATATGACTTTGGAAGGACTATCCCTACTGACTAGTCCACCAAATATACATGCAAGCCATCAAATGCATAGTTTCTAGCACTCCCAGACTCTACTGACCAGTGGAATGTTCTTATGTCACTGACCAGCTATCACAGACATGTGCAGATGCTGATTCGTCAGTGCATAGTTTCTGGCGTCTAGCACTCCCAGACTCTACTGAGCAGTGGAATGTGCTTATGTCACTGACCAGCTATCACAGACATGTGCAGATGCTGATTCGTCAGCTGCGAATAAGCATGTCCCTTGTCCGTTTGTATTTGTGAAAGTGCTTGCGTTTATTGAATTGTGACCATAACCTAACAGTTTCCTTTATCCATCCTGGAAGAGATCGAAAACACTCCCTGCACTCGTACTTAGCTCCTTGCCGAGTCCATCAGTTCCAGTGTTCCCTTTTCCCCCATAAAACCGGTCATAACGGCATTCCTAAACAACTCACGGCCTCACTTTCGTGCTTTCGGCCATTCTGGATATCTGCTCTAGCGCGCAGAAATTGTTCCTCCACATTCGGCATAATATAGTCCAGTTCCCAGAGACCAAAAAAAGGGTTCATCTTACAAAAGGTGGGGTAAAAGATTTCATTTCTTTAATTTGATTCAATGAGTATAAAGAGTTTCATATAAAAAATGTGCCTAAATCTGGGCTCGGCACAACTTTTGGTAGCCGAAAAACCTCGAAGTTTTTGGACATTTTTAGGTTTTCGCAATATGTCGAAAAGGTGTGGTTCTATCAAAAAAGAGTTCCTATACAAAGTTGTAGAGAATTGAATTTCCAACAAATTTTATGAACAACTTTGTCTTTAACGACCAATAGGGAGCGAGCTACAGCATCTCAAAGATGGACAATTTTTCTTAACGTAGCCAAGTAAGTAGAATGATCTATAACTTTTCTGTGAGCCCCTTCATCACAAAATTAATCACCAACTGAAGGAATAAAGGAGACGAGAGAGTGAGAAAACATGGGTATGGAAAAAACTAGTATTAAACAAGTGAAGTATTTCATTACAATGAAAACATTGGAAAATTGACCAATGAAAAGAGAAGTTAACCTTTCACTTCACTTCTTTCTTATACGTATCGACGGTCCTGGTTCCTCACGAACAGGTGCCATGATGGGTGGGTCCTCGTAGACCTCATCTATGGTCGATTAAGTGAATGTATTTTCCTCTTCCTCACCATCTGTGCCCATCAGTTCGGAAGAGTACAGTGGGACATTGTCGCAGTCGGTGCCTCTGCATTTCTTGCAGTTGCTGGAGAATTTCAACCCGGCACGAGACACTTTTAAGTAGGCTTTTGGGTACTGGGTCCTTCGTTGCATGCTGTGGAATCAGGCCCTATAGATTGCTGGTCCTCAGCCAAACTTGAATTTGGTAAAGCGATCTTAGTGAGTGTAGAGCAGAAGCATCAAAAGTGGGTGGCAACCGAGCATGATTAACTGTTCCTGCAGGCACGGACGTTTTAAAAAGATCGTATCGCATGTCGTCCAAGGTTGCGAGTCCACTGAACGTCCCCTGTTGGTACAATACTTTGAACATAAGCTCTCCAGCTTCAATAATTGCTCCATTTGTGCTCTGCTCATCCAAGAACACATCCAACGCATGCTTCATTTCTCCGGAATATTTTTCCAGAACACTGCACAGCTTCACTTTTCCATGGTCAAATATGGCAGATGAACCGTCACACCCGCTGAAAGTATTGCTGATGAGGATGTATTGTGGATGAATTTGTATGATGCTGTTGAGTTGCGTCCCAGGCTTCAGGAAGAATAAATTCTCGTACTGCTGCCCAAGACCTTTCATGAGCACAATGAGATCAACATCCTCCTCAACCAGTACCACAGCATCACATTTCTGGGCCTTGGCTATGGCAGTTTCCACTATGATACTGCCAGCATCCTCATGTGCCTGACTGACTTGAATTCCACAATTCTTGAACTCTGTTTTGAGTAGCTCAATCAAACTAATCTTGTTATTGGCGTTCGACAGAAACTTGTTTTGAGCAACTGCGTTGATTGTGGTTTTGTCAATGATCACATCAGGAGAAGTGTGGATCTGTGTACGGCGTAATATTTCAGCGCCCTTTGTGCCAGACTCCGCAAGGTACCCATCAAAAATAACTGCTAGATCGGATCCCTTATGCCTCGTCAGAAATGAGCATCGCCCTCAAACTGTCTGGAGAACCTTATCGGACCACAATATAGTAGAATTCGGAAAAACAACCAAAGATGCAAAGAATGCATGGGCCGCATTAACTCACACAAAAACAAGCGTTACTTGGCTTTTTCACCATTTTGAGGAAAATGGTCCATCTTTAAGATGCTGTAGCTCGCTCCCTATAGGTCTTAGAAGAAGAAGTTATTCAAAAAAATTGTAGGGAATTCGATGGTCTACAACTTTGTATGAAGACTATTTTTCGCTAGAACCATTCCTTTTCGACATATTGCGAAAAAACCGAAAAATGTCCGAAAACTTCGAGGTTTTTCGGCTACCAAAAGTTGTGCCGAGCCCACATTTTTCATATCATACCGTTTGTAAGAAGGAATCTTCTGGGACCTGGACTAATAGTCTTCCTTTTGCCGATTCCTCTTGGCCCGTGTTCTCTAATCGATTAGAGAGAGGGTCTGCGTGCTGCCTGACGCGTGAACGAGATCGAAAATCGCGATAGCCGTGTCGATCGGAGCGTGACAATGGGAATAGCGCGGCGGGTACGGCGAAACTTCAAAGAAAAAGCAGCTAATAGTGAAGCAGATAGACGCACGTGGGGGTCGTTCGAGCTGAAAATTCGGTACATTACACAATTCCTTCTGATGCGACTTCTAGACGAATTTCCCAGATGCATTTCTCTGGAATTTATAAAATAATATCGAGTTGTATGTAGCAGTGATATTTCGAATTCGATATAATCGGTTTTCAATCTTTTTTGACATGGAATAATCTCAATTTTCCATCAAAAAGCTACAAGGTCTAATCAGAAAGTGGGGGGTTTACTGAGAGAAGATGCCTAGTCATGAAGATGTTTTTCCTGAATATTTCCCAGACGCATCTATAGATGAAATAATCGAATCATACAGGGTGAATCATAACTATTGAGACATAGGCCAAGGGCATATTGTTTGGACCAAAATATGGCGATAGGATAGAATATGCTCCAATTATATATTGCTGTGGAAAAAGATACAGGGTGTTGAAGTTTAATATACTTTTTTGTTCCTTGCTAATAATGTCAAATATCAAAATCGGCACAGACGCTCACTTTTATACAGGAAATATCATTTTATGTATTCTACAGTTTGTTACAGGAGACGCCACATGAACTGAACTTTTTAGTGATTTTGATCAGATAATACGATTTAAACATCATTTTTACGTAATATTGGTAATCTTGTTTGAAAGCGATATTTTCATCAGTTTTGTAGAAGAACGCAAACAGTTCAAAGTCTCGAAAGGGAATTTCAAATATTATTTTATCTATGAATAGTGTGCTTTGGACTGTCAGATGATTGTTGCTGGTTTATTGAATTTCTTGTCAGTGAATTGATCTTGATACGATTTTATAGGCCCTATTTTTCCACAGCAATATTTTATTGAGGCATATTTGCTTATATGCCATATTCTGATTCAAACAATCCACCCATAGCCTATGGC